CCATTCAAAGCAGCAGCAGTAGCTGCTGTCCAAAATGCCCCAATCAGTCACAGGTTTCTGAATCACCGTCGTAGATATTCAAATCAAACACATCACTGCCACTAAAAGGTACCCAATCACAAACAAGACCTGGATTGTTTCCAGGGAGAGATCCTGGAATCCCAAATTTGCTTATTATAAAGCTTATATGAACAACTTCAGAAGCCTTACAAAAATTCAGCTTCTCATTTCTAATAATTAAATATTATACCAGAGTTTTGTTGGCTTTCTCTAAATCAAAAATGAAACTAACATTAAGAACATTAAATTCACACTTAAGAAAAAATTTCTACCATTTAGAAATCTAAAAGTAATCAAACAACTATAAAGATAAAACCAAAAAAGTTAGATGTGATTATTAACAATTTAAAATATTTTTTAAATTTAAACTTCATGTATTCAAACTTAAGAAATGAATCCAAGACTGGTACTATATAGCTCATGGAAAGAGCACTTGCCTTGTGCACAGAAGGTCCCAGGTTTGACCCCAACGAAGAAGGGAAAAAACTAAAGGAAGAAAGAAAAAGAAAGAAGATTGACAGATTCCAAAGTCCCACTCAAAGGAAAATTCATAGTATCAAATGTTTTATTACACAGATGTTATAGCTTGTGTCCAGATGTCCCCCCAAAGCTTCTTGAGGTCACAGGTGGAGCTTTTCAGAGGTGGCTGGATCTAGGATGTGATTCAGGGATTAAGTGTGTGATGCTGGGATCAAGGGTGTGTGATTACTACGTTGATCCATTGATTAGTCTGACATAGTTCTGGTATGATAATAGAAAAGCCAGCCCTGTACATGACCACTACCTACTCTAAGGGTGTGCAGCCTGGATAGAGTATAAGAAGCAGAAAGAAGGTTGCCGTTGTCACTTGCTGCTGATTGCTTCTGTCTTGGTGCCTTCTGCCTGCTATGAGCTGTTTCTCCTTTGAGCAGCCCTTCTGCCATGCCTCTCTGCCTCGCAGCCAGCAAACTATGAACTGAAACCTCTACAAACTGTGAGCTACAATAAATATGTCCTTCTTTACCTTTGGTTGTCAGGTATTTTGTCTCCACAATGAAAACTGTAACTAACACAAAAGGAAAAGGAGAAAATTACAAAATAAGCCAAGCACATCAGTACTTCTCACCTCTAGAAGTGAGGTTGCCAAAGTTATTCCAAGAGGCTAGCATTACCCTGATACTAAAACTACACAAGGACTTAACAAAAGAAAGAAAGAAAGAAAGAAAGAAAGAAAGAAAGAAAGAAAGAAAGAAAGAAAACAAACAAAACTACAGGTAATTCCGTAATGAACATAGATGTAAACAGAATTCAACAAATTATCAAAAAGTTCATACATCACAACCAAGTGGTTTCATCCAGGGATGCAAGCAAGGATGGTTCAATATTGGCAAATCAATAAATGGAACTCTCCACATAAACAGATAGAGGATAAAAATCACGTGATCATTTCAATAGATGTAGAAAATGTGGTGATGTAGAGGGGACATGGGAATGGGGGACACGGTAGAGAGGGGAGAAGGGGAAGTAAAAAGGATCAAGATTCAATTGTAGGTATAATCATTCTGCACAGTAAATGCATTTATTTTGTATTATAAACATACTAATTAAAAAATAATAAATATATTAAGTATTCACTGTCAGATATCATGGTAGAGAAAAAGAATGTTATTTTTAAATTTAAAAGGTAACAAAACGAATTAGCAGAAATACATCAAAACTGAGAAATAAATCCCAAAGCTCACTGTTGACCAACAAAGCCAATGACAGACTTGGACAAAGTTTATTTGAAAGAGAAATAAGCCAGTGTAACAGAGTCATAGTTTGCAAGCTACGCTTTTCTTTTTTGTTTGCTATTCGGTTGCACAGGCTGGCCACAGTGTGAGTCTCCTGCTTCTGTCTCCCAGGTAGCTGATTACAGGTGCATGCCACCATGCCAGGTTTTTGCCTTCTGACTATGTGGCAGTCCACATCCTTCTGAAACATCCTTCAGGGGACAATGAAGATAACAAGGCTTTTCAGGGAAATAATTCAAGGATAAGGGTAAGGTAATGCTGGATAAGCAATACAGAACTCACTGCAACTTGAAGATATTTCCTAGATTCTTACCGACCTCTTTTAAGACACTGAACACCTTACTAGAAGACATCGCTCCTTGAGTTGCACTGGTCCTTCTCCTTTTGTCCCCACAATTTACCATTAAAGCTTAGACCTGAGTCAGGCCTGGAGGCCTGAGTCATAGCACAGAAAATATGATGGAGAGGAAAGCTCATACATTTCCAGTATTGCATAAAAATGGAAGAGAGATAAAGGCAGAGAAGGATTCAAGTTTGGAGAGAGAACAGGGGGAACAAAAACAAGACAACATCAAGAGGAATAACAAGAACAAGTAGGGATTTTGCCTCCTCTTCCCCAATTACAATTCTAGAAACATATCTAGAAACACAATCACAATTCTAGAAACACTCCTTAGGCAATCCCTGCTCTTGAAACTAATCTAACAGTGGGGTCTCATTTAATAGAAGAGGCCCTGATATTGAGTTTCCTGATTCCTTTAGGTTTAGATGAGGCCCAAGAAAAAGAAAGTTTTCTCCAGTGTCCTGAGAGGACTCATTCGTGGGCACTTAAGATGGCCAGGGAACACCAGCAGGGCAAACACTAAGGGAAAAGAACGAACCACAAGACACAGATGACCCGGCTGGCTGCTCACAGGGTATCTGGTCATCAGAGGGAAATAAATTCTGGAGATTAGCAGTCAAAGTAACCCATGGTCTTGAACTCCAACTCTTACCTCTCTGTACTGCTACATTACCTCTCCTTCATAAATCTACATGTCATTTTAAAATCAGAAAAGATGGAGAGAGTAATCTGAGAAATGCTACCAAAGAGAAGAAAAAGAGTTGCTTACTTTATAAGTATGCGCACACACACACACACACACACGTTACTTAGGATCTGTGAAAGGCTACACAGCAAGTACATCAACAATGTGGGATTCTAGATCTATGTGGTCTGGCTGCCCAATTTATTAACTCTTTGACTTTGGCTAAATTACTCCTTCAATGCTACAGTTTCTTCATATATAAAACAAGGATAATAGTTTCACTCAGTAATTTGTAAGTATTAAATGAGTTAATAAATATTAAGTGCTTAGCTCAATGTCTAGCTCATAAGAATTCATTAAGTGTTAGTTACCCTTAGCATCATTAAGAAGATGAGACCAACTACAGAAAAATCAAGGGACTGCAATTTCTCTACACAACCAAGCAGTATGGTGACTTACAATCCACACCTCTGCTACACAAATAATCAAAATCAAAAATGATAAAGGGCACATAAAATAGATCAAAAGGCAAAGAGGTTTTTTTTTTTTTACAAATACAGCTTTATGGTATGAAATGAAAAATCTTAATAGAACAAACCACATTCAATAAAGATATGAATTACCTATATTAGTTCAAGAAGTATGCCAAGTCAAAAAGAAGTAAGCCAAAAGAGGCAGAAAATTCATCAAAGAATTGTCTTTAAAAAGATCTAGGAACAGATCCTTTAATGAGTACAGGCTTTCGAACTTTCCCAAAGGGACAAATTGACTTGGAGAAGATGCAGTGCTCCCAGGTCACCAAGCAAACTAGGCCACCTGCGTATACGGACTGGCATAAAATGGAACTGTAGGCTAATATTTTTCTCAAAAACTTCCATTGCTGTAGGATTTATTTCCTGGCGCTGTAACATACTATGAAATTCCAAAGAGGGGACAGTGGCAGGTCACACTTTCCCTCCCTGTCAGTCTTTCATATACTTCCAGACCTTAGGGCCAGGCCAGATCCATCTGGGAGGAGCCTGCCAGTTATGCAATCAGGAAAGATTATGGTGGGTCCAAGTGCCAAGAATATACATAAGGACGCAGAGAGGAAACGGGACTCACAGGAGATAAAAGGAGAGACAGAGACCAAATACAAGATTACAATAAGAAAAGCAAAGTTAAGGCATGGAGGGGTTATGTTCAGAGGGCAAAAACATAAATGGCTTCAACCCTTCTAGGAAGGAATTGGAAATGTGATTTAGAAATCTTCAGTGCACCTACTCTGACTTAAGAATCCAACTTTATCAATGCATCCTGCGGAATTAATATGAAATAAAGATAAAGATTTACATACAAACATGGACGCAATAGAATTTTTGACAGCAAAACAAAAACAGAAAGCAAACCACATGTCTAAAAATGAGAAGAGTTAAACAGGGATATTTATATTATGAATTATGCAATAATTAAAAGTAATGCTTTGGAAAAATTTATCAGCTTGCACAAGACTATGATTGCTTAGGGGGAAGGTGGAACACAAATCACAAAGTAAAATCTCAATTATATTTTCTAAGTGTACATATGTAGGAATGATTACTAGAAGCAAACAGCCTAAAAGCAACTTGCATGTGGCATCTGAAGGGTGGGACTCTGAGTGAATGTTATTTCATTTTATATATTTCCCTATTGTCTTAACTTTCTACCCTAAGTTGTATTGCCTCTACAACCAGCAAAAACCATAAAAAGCAAATAATTGCTGCATAGGGATATTCATAAAAAATATAAGTTTTCACTCCCCTAGAACAAAAACATTCTTAGTACATAGAAGAATTCCATTCCTCCTAACAGGAATCTTAACACCGGAGCACTTTAAAGCACAGGAAATAAAATGCAAACAACCAAATCTCTCAAGACGACTAAGCGGCTCCTCCGGGGGTTTCACACTCAGCATCCATTTTTCAAATGTGGCTGTTTTAGTATCTGCCTCATTTTCGAAAAACACTAGCTTCAGGAAGCAGGAAGAGTTTTTGCTCCCACACAGCGCGCGCGTGTACACACACACACACACACACACACACACACACACACACACACACGCTTGCACACTCAGTAGTGTGGCCCCAGGCAGACAACCGGAGCACGTCCCGCCCCTCGGTACCTGTTTGTGGTGCGCGGAATCTGGGTAGCCGGACTCCGGAGCGTCCTCAGCGTGGCGGAGGTGCCGTGGGTGTCCGCCCTGCTTTCCTCCACCAGGATCCTGCAGGTCAGGGAGAAAACTTAAGTTGTTACACCTCGCGGGAAATCGCCGGCTGTCAGGCCGGGCGCCGCGCTCCAAGCCTGGCCAGGGTATCTTGACGCACCCTGACTCCCGTGCAGTACCCCACCCACGGACTTGGAGAAGCCTTAGGATGAGAAAGAAGGAAAATCAAGGACCCAAACAGAGAACCGGGTGCCTCTAGACACCCGACGGTGGGGCTGGTTTCGCAGCTCCCTCGCCCACAGTGATGCACGCGCGAGCCTCGCAACCCTCAAGGGTCCCTCTCCACCTCGCGCCGCGCCCACCGCACCCAGGGTCGCCTAGTCACAAGACCCTATATGCGCCCCACCCTCCAGCAGCCCTTGCCCCTCTCCTGTTTCCCCTTAGTGGCCAAAAGTCGGTGCGCTCCAGCCAAAACGCCGAGGTGCGAGCGAGGCTCCGGGGTGCACCGCGGGACGCATGCGGGGGCGCGTGGGACGCAGGGGTCGCTAGAGGGCTCGGGATTACCTGGCACGCGCGGGCGCGTCGGTGGGGCAGGAGAGCAGGCGCATCATCAGGAGCAACAGCAGGCTGGCGAGGAGGGCGAGCAGCGCGCCCCCCGGCCGCATCCTGAGCCACGGGCGCAGCCGTCGCCGCCAACGCTGCTGCTGCCCGGGCGAAGCGCAGCCCGGGCTGCCCGGAGTCGCTGCCGTCGCCACCACTGCGGCCACAGCCACGCACCCCCACCCTGGGATTCAAAGGCGGCAGCGAGGGGCGACGACGCCGCGCGCACCGGAGCCTCGCTTCTCCCTCTCCGGCCCGGGGCGCGGAGCCTGGCGCTCGGCACTCGGCTGGCTGATGACGATTCGCCGCGCTCGCCGCTTGTCCTCCCGGAGGCGCTCCGAGCGCTGCGGGCTCTGGTCTCTGCAGCCGCCGCCTGCCGCCGCGCGGGGTCACCTGAAGGTTGGGGCGCGCGAGCTCAACTCCGTGCTGATTGGGCTCCAACTTTTGGGCGCCTTTACCTTCGCTGGAGTCCCCGCGCGGGGCTTTTGGAAGCCCACCCAGCCCACTCAGTCGCACCCTGACTTGGTCAGCGTAGCTGCAGCCGAAACTGAGGACCGGGAGGGACAAGAGGAGAGAAAAGAAAGGGCCACTTCGCAAACTTTGCAAACTGTGGAGTCGCTCTGCTGTATCCTCCTCCTACGCTGAATGGCTGCCAAAGATTTGGTGTTTGCATGGCTCACGGCACTGCTAGAAGGCTGCGATTTTCTGTATCTTCAACGGATATTCGTGGAGATCAGGGACCAGAAAGCCCTTTGGGGTGGGCAGCTCTCCCCTTTCCTCTCCCCACCTGCTTTAATAACTTGTTTTATTGGAACATCTCCATGTCCACTACTTGGCGTCATCAGTGACTGTATAGGGCTGTGTGGTCTATGGCTACTTTTGCATTATAAAGGCAGAATTGAATAGGGAGGTGACAGATCCTATAGCTATTAAGGCCTAAAATATTTAGTCACACACTAAAGCTTCCAGAAAAGCTTTGCCTACTTTAGTTAAAGAGCGCATTAGCCTGAGGCTAACTCTGTATTTTGAGTTTCCACTCGAACTCAGAACCTAACTAAAATATATAAAGAAGATCTGAGTTCCAACCAATCACAGGCAAACAGGGTTCAGCCAGTCATACATAGCTAAACCCTAACCTCATCACACCAGGCTCAAAAAAGAGAGGTACTTAGCTGTAGCAAATCAGGTGGTTTCTCAACTATTCTGTGTTCGCCCAATAAAAGCCTCCTGGTGTTCGCTGGTTCTGAGTGCTTCCTGGTTCATGAGTTTTTCTGTACACCAGTTAATTGCGCTGAATTTAATTTGTGACAATTTTTTCTGAATCTTTGTGTCTTTCTAAAATTCATATGTTGAAAGCCCAATGTACTGTCATTTGAAGGTGGGGTCTTTGGGAGGTGATGTGGTCATAATGGATGATAATAGGAGGGATGGATCCTTCATGATGGGATTAGTGCCCTTCTAATGCAGGAAGATGTTTGCTTTCTGCACATAAAGCCAGCAGCTTTCCTCAAAGTAGACCCTCTCAGGAACCTGGCTGACTTCAGATTTAGCCTACACAACTTTGAAAAGTAAATGTTTGTTGTTTTAGCTGCCCACTTCATGGTGTTGTTACAACAGCTGAAACTAAACTACAGACTCCTGGTTTAGATCATATAGGTCACTGTAATTTATTGGTTAGTATCCCTTTTATCACAAAAAAAGAGATACAATGATGATGTTATGTATTCTGGCTGTGTGATTTTTTGTTTCGAAATGGGACTCAGCTCTTTGAGCCTTAAGCTACCCTGTCCACAAGTAGCTGGTGGACTGCCCAACCCCCACCAAGCAACGTTCCCAGGTTTTATTCCTCAGATCAATATATTATGATCTTTGTAGCGGCTATAAGAGGATCATTGGCCCATTCATTCTACTTTTGTATAGATATGGTATCTTCCCCCAAAGCAACCCTTAGACTCTTATGTCTTAGGAATGTCTTAATAAAGTTAGTTTGCAAAAAGTTTAAACTAAAAAAACATTTAATACATTACTTTCCCAAGTCACAAATTGATCCGGCCTGCGGATCAATCTATGGGTCTCAACCTGGAGAGGGGATCGGGGATGGGGGCAGGACAAGAGAAAAGAGAGATGGAGACAGGATGAGATTCCAATCGAGTCTCGTTTATTTTCAAAATGGTTACAACTTATATAGGGTGGGGGCGGGCCATAGGCAGGAAGAAGGCTTAATCTGATAGGTCATCATCATATCCGGATATATGATGTAAGCAGGAGAGGATTATGGGTAATGTAGGCAGGCTGAAACAGGAAGTTTGCTTGTCATGTGCATTGCAGGCAAGGGGAGGATCATGGGAAATGTAGGCTGACACACAAAATGCCCTCAGGCAGGAGGGGCAGGGCAGCAGCAGCTATTTAAAACCGCTCCCTACATCTCCTCCCTTATTATTATATATATTTTTTGGAACATGGCAGGCCCTGGGAGGACAGCGCCTGCCTTGGGTCAAGGACTCCTCATATGAACCCAATCGAGCCTTACCCGTCATGGGCCTGCAGGACAGCTGTTGGTCCTGGACCTGTCTTAGGTGGCCGATTGGCATTACATATGTGTCCTAGTTGCCCGTCTCTGACTGCCTGTCCAGTGCCTCAGGGCGTCTGGGCCACAGCATCATGTGGGCCGTCAGTGGGTGAATTTTCCCGATAAGTTTGTTGTTCTGCCATTTCCAACCGATGGTAATATACCTGAATGGGCTTTGCCATAAATGTGTCAACCTTGTTATTAATGTTATTAATGAGTGTCATGATCCTCTGGAAAACACAAGGTCCTACAGTAAGCAGCAACAGCAAGGCAGTTAGGGGTCCCAAGAGGGGGGCAATGTAAGGGGAGAGATCCTCCCACATGGAGGAGAAGGTGGTTGCTCCGATGCGCTCCTTTTCTCTCTCTTCGAGGTGCTCTCTCAGTTTATTCATGGACTCTTTGACCACTCCCGAGTGGTCAGCATAAAAACAACACTCTTCCTTGAGGGCTGCACATAAGCCACCCTCCTTCATAAACAGGAGGTCTAGTCCTCTTTTATTTTGCAGGACTACCTCAGATAGAGACGTCAGGGACGCCTGTAGAGCTGTCACAGATGCTTCTATTTCTTTTAAATCCTGATCCACTGCTGCCTGTAATTGAGCTAGATGCTTATCTCCCAACACTAGAGCTGTGGTCCCTGTCCCTATTCCCGTTGCTACTCCTAACCCTAGTAACACAGCTAAGGTGAATGTCACAGGTTCTCTTTTAGATATATAGCTGGTCTGCGATGCCTGGAGGTAGTAGTCTCCTGGGTGGAAGGTTATGCGTGGAAGAACCTGTACAAGAACACAAAAATCTGTAGACTTGTTAAAAACAGCAGTTGCTATACAGGGTGATAGGCCAAAATTGCAGGCCCAAGATGTTCCTGGGGGTGGAATGAGGTAATTATTTGGCTTGAATTTGGAATGAAGTTGGGCACAGAGTTGTGCTGCCAGTGCTGGTGGATGGCTGGAATCCCCAAGACAAGTTCCTCTACCTGAGACATCAGGGAGAGTCAGCTTGTGGTGATTGTTCCAGTCACAGGCAGATGAGCTAGAAGAACTGATAAAGGTTAAATTGAGGGCCTTTCCTTCATAATATGGGGGAGGAGCAGCCAAGCATAACCAACATGATTGGGTGAGATCAGGTTGGGTATGATTTAAAGCCATGTATGCTCCTTTGATCAAACTGAATAGGTTAGAATGTGAATATTGAGGGGCAGGTATATGAACTGTCTGGTGTAGCGGAGCTTGAGAAACTGTTATGGCTGAGGGACTTACTGTGGTTATTTGAACAGCAGTAACAGGATCTGTATTGGGCTGATTGTATTTTGGATTTGGATAATATTTTGGCTTTAGAGCAAAGTTTGGGCCTATGGGCACAACTGAAGTCTGTAGGGGAACCTTTTTTATGAGAATAAGATTTCCCCTGTCTTTACCTGACTCATAAATTCTCAGTCCCCAGGTGCGTCCTATCAGCCAACCTGGGTCCTCAGGAGTGGTGACAGTGACGTTTAGAACCTGACAGGATCTTTGATAGGCCAGTGGGTAGTCACCTAGGCTGCACCCCGGCGGCCCCCATGTCAGTTTAAGGTGTTTATCGGGGAAGGCAGGTTGCCACCCTGTTGCAACTGTTTCACAGCCCCAATAAGCACAAAAATATTCTCCCGGGGAATTACAATATGATCTGCCCCCGGTTGCTGCGGGGCAAAGGTAAAAATGGCTTTGTTTGGGACATTGGAGCCCTGGGAAGAACCAACAGGGTGTGGGCGCAAACCATGGACTTCCTGATCCTATCCAAGTCAAAACCTTTTTTTCGTTGTTCCAGCGGCTAAGCTCCCATTTCCAGGGTCGATGGGGGTTGCTGTCCATTAGATGTAGTTGTGTCACAAGTCCAACGATGATCCATAAGATTTTGACAAGTCGCACCATCTGTAAGAGAACACAGGGAGTTGTGCCTCAGGAGGAAATTTTATTCCTGGGCGTCACATTGGGTCCTCGATGAGGAACTATCTATTTGTTTTATAAGCCTTTCAGGGAGCCATCTAGCTCCTTTTTCCTGTTTGGAATAAATGCATACAGAGCCTCGTCCCCAGATGAGGACTGGGTCTGGACCATTCCATGTGTTGGTCAGGGGATCTCTCCAGAGAACAGATGCATATTGCGTGGCTGTCTGTGTGTGCCAGAAGCGAGATGCTGCAGAGTAGCCTAAGGCATCTAGAGATAAAAAATTTAAAATAAAAAGAGCATGTGAAAGAATATTTTTAGGAGAACCTCGGGTTGGATACCAGGTTCCTCTTTTTATCTTGTCTATGGTAGATTTGAGGGAACGATGTGCACGCTCAACAATGCCTTGTCCTTGAGGATTGTAAGATATACCCGTGGTATGGAGAATATTAAGGCATTTACAAAATTTGGCAAAAGAGGTACTAGTATAGCCTGGTCCATTGTCCGTTTTGAGTTGTTGAGGACATCCCAGAACTGAGAGAGCTGATAGCATATGGGCTATAATATGTTTAGTAGCCTCTCCAGTCTGGAGTGTGGCGAAGATGAAACCACTGAATGTATCAACACTTACATGTATATATTTTAGGTTGCCAAATTCATTAAAGTGAGTGACATCCATCTGCCATAAGGCATTGGGGATCAAACCTCTC